TATGGCAATGTAAATTGCCATAATACAGACACTGACTCGAGTATAAGCCGAGTGGGGGTTTTTCAGCACAAAAAATGTGCTGAAAAACTCGGTTTATACTCGAGTATATACGGTATTAAAAATACATTGAATTTCATATGATAGATCTCTAAGCGGCCTGTCAATATACTCATGGTGGGGGAGTCTGCCTGGTTCTGGAACTCATCTATTTCTGAGCTATGTGTCGTCGTCTGGAACAGTGTGGGTAATCCCGGTACCCACTGGCATGCACTTGGGGCACACTGTCAGCATTGTAACCAAGGCGAATCCTGAGAATGGGGCCTATTGCCCAATATGGGCGCTGCACAACAGCCTGCTTCTCCGCAGCCACCCCACAACTGGTAACCTTTAGTGACGCGATTCTACAGGCCTTTGACAGAATGTGTGCCCAATTCTGGGTAAAATTGAGTACCAGAGTACTCACCACTTCAATAACCCAAGGTACCATCTCCCAAATTAGACCTGTGAGTTGGCAACACGTGACAGGATTCCACCTATGTGGCTATCATAAGATGTCACCAAGATGAAGGCCCATGTGACTGCTGTGGCAGATGTATACCACCGAAGCTGGGTGGTGAATAGAAGGCAGGGGCCGCAGACAATACAGGCTTGCAGCATAGAGACTATCACAGCCCACTGCCATGTCCCTTCATGGCGCTCCTGAGGAGGCCGACTTTCAAAGCGCTTTTAGAGAGTTCCAACTCAGCAAGGCCCATCATGTGCATCAAGATGGCGCCAGGGTCCTTTCAAGGTTGCAAATCATGGATGGTCTCAAGACGGCAAAAAACAAGACCACATCCACACTGGGAACAGGAGGAGCTCTCCTCCATGACAATGTGGACTCTTACTTCCCTATCTCAACAGCCTCCCTTGCATGGGTATCGGTTGAGCAGCACCATGAAATGACCACAAGTTATCTGCAGCTAAGACGTAGTAATAAATGTGAGGCTATAACTCTGTAGGACTGTAGTTTATTGCTTTTTGTAGTATGTGTGGAACTTAATAAAGACGCTTGGGTCAAAACGTTACTGCTGTGGTTCCAATAAAGTTCCTGTCTTGAACCAAGGAGTGCCTGGACCTCTTTCATTTTACTGTAGTTTATTGCTGACATCACTCCTTTGCAATCAGTACCCACTGGCACTTTATTTAATTTAGTTTAAGTTTATTTTAATTAGCAGACAGCCAATACTATACTCTAGCACTACATGTTATTATATAGGTTAACTGCCAATTTTCACATTGTTATTGTGCCCTGCTGGATCTATATGCAATGTTTAACCCTACTCACCCAGTGGTATTCCTTCATGAATTATCAACAGTTCTATGCTGCAGCACTTGTTCTTTTCTCACCTTTAACGTACTAGAACTGTGCTTCAGTGACCTTATCTCCTCTGTTATAAAAAGTGCAGTAACTTCAACATTCCATGTTCCAACCAATTCTTTTCATGTTATGTATTCTTATGCAATGTCTATGCAAGCCTGTAACTTACACCATGCACTGAAAAATAGAAAATGAAAACTAACTAAATAAATCCTGCTGTTAATATATGGTTAGAAGAATTAGAAATAAACCTAGATATGAAAGAGTAGTGATCATCTTTTTACAGAGCGACCAAAACAACGTATTGTCTGAATCTTGTGCAAACATAGGTTAAGTTAAAAAAATAAATAAATGGTATCTGGTGCCCACAAGATAGAGTAAAATGTTCCCCTCTGTAAATCCGATATGTTGGAGATGTACCCAAAACAAAGGCACATACTTACATGTTTGTTGGGGGTGCAACGGTATAAAAGATTTAGGGAAAAAAACCTTTGAAGCTATATTTATACTCATCCAAACCAACAGTGCTACACAACTGATCACAAGTATAGGGGGCAGCACTCCTGAAGATAAGGGTATCCCTCAAACCCTTAAAAAAAACTAAAGGTGACAGAACAAAAATATTCAGGGTGTGCCAGAAAGATTTAATAGACCACAAAAAGGCTAACTGTTTAGATAAAAAAGCACAATGAAAAGTCCAATAAAAAAATACCGAAGGTAAAAATAGGCCTAAAGACACAATATATCTTTAATTGTTCATGCAAAATCCTTGCTACAGCTCAATTTAGCAACAGCGGATGAAAGAAAGCAGAATACAGAAGGAACCAATAGTGCAATATGGCAAGTCAGATGAGCTACAAACAACCTTGAGGTATAGAAATGCCAACTCACATATCATAGAGCTATGACCAGCTCTAGGTAAAACAGCGTCCTGTGGTATAAACTCCCCACTTGCACGATATGCCTCTGGTGGTTGTTGCAGTGTAGATCACATGCAATAAAAGAAGAGAAAGCCAATAGTGCTCTCCATACAGGTAAGTATAAATAGCAATAGGAAATATACTTACAATACAAAGAGAAGACAAACCCCTCTATGTGCCAGGCGTGGGTGGAACAATCCCTACCTTGGATTCTTTTGATGATAATTCTGGTGCTTTAGATGATAAAAACCTTGCCAGGTATAAGTCAACGTAAAAATCATAAAAGTAAAAAAGACTAACCACTTATTGTAAAGTAGTAAAAAAATACTTTTATTAATACAGTAATATAAAATAACGTGTTTCGCCCTATTGAGGTTTTATTCCACTTGCTTGCTGTTAAAATTGTGATCACCAGACATGGGAAGGTTGAGAACAATTTTTTGTAGTCAATACTTGAAAAAGTACATTTTGTGGCCTGCTCTTCATATCTGAGAGTCAAATAGAAGCGCCAAATAGTGTGCTTACTGCGCAGTGGTAAACATTCCTACTTTCTGGGTGCTAATCTGCTAAATAGTACATTTTGTGGCTTGCACTTCATATCTGAGAGTCAAATAGAAGCGTCTAATAGTGCGCTTATAGGGCAGTGGTAAACATTCTTATTTTATGGGTGCTAATCTGCTATATTGAATTTCTATATCACATTAAAATGGAAAAAGCGCTAAAATGGAATCAATCAGATTTATCCAAAAAAGTCATCTAGCATGGAATAATTGCCGTGAGTGAATAAAAGCTATTTTTCAAGGCTCTAGAATGTGAATACTTTAAGAATTTGTTTAATTATGTGGCTCTCTCGAAGGTCTCCCTCCTCTCATTTCTCAGCTTCTTATGTTAATTTAAGTATTTTTTTTGTTGTTTGTTTTTGTGGCTGTACTTGTCATTTTATTATATTTGATTGTAAATTGATTTCATGATGTTATGCTATTTTTTCTTGGTTTGTATGTAAATCTATTTTGTGAAAAATCTTAGATTAAAAAAAAAGTTAATTTTACAAGAAATGGGTGGATTGGAGTAAGTGATTACAAGACTCTGTTGAACAGATGTTTATTTAGCTTGATATGGAATATGTGAAGGCCTTTTCTTGATATCAATTGCCAGGCGGTTCCAGAGTACCCTATTTCCAAGGCTATTAACATCCATTGGGAGGGATATTAAAAACCCATATCTTCTCTAAGTGTTATGGCCTTGTGTAAAAGAATACTCTGTAGTTTTTTGTATCTCTTTCTTAAGTTGGAGGCTGAAGACTAGAGTTGAGCGAACCCGAACTGTAAAGTTTGAGTTCGTACTGAACATTAGGTTTTTTGGACCCTGGACCCGAACACGGACATATCACTGCATGTTTGGGTTGGAGTTCGGTGTTCGGCGATTTAATGGAGCGTTTTCAAAGGCTGCAGGGCAGCCAATAAACAAGCATTTGACTTGTGTGCCCTTAGAAGCCATCACAGCCATGCCTACTAATGGCATGGCTGTGATTGGCCAGTGCAGCATGTGACCCAGCATCTATATATAAGCTGGAGTCACGTAGCGCCGCACGCACATGTGGTCTTATTAGTGTAGGGAGAGGATGCTGCCGCTGATAGGGACAGCTTAGGAAAGAATTCTGCAAACTAGTACATTAGTGGGGTGGGATGCACTTCATATCTGAAAGTCAAATAGAAGCTTCAAATACCGCAGTTACATCAGAGTTTTAAAAAGGAATTTTTTTTGGTGCTAAATCGTACATTAGTGGGGTAGTACATTAGTGGGGTGCAGTTCATATCTGAGAGTCAAATAGAATCGTCAAATACTGCTGTCACATTGCAGTTTTAAAACTTAAAATTATTTGGGTCCTAAGCTGATAAATAGTATTTTAGTGGGGTGCACTTCATATCTGAGAGTCAAATAGAAGCATCTAATATTGATATTTTCTACACTAGAAACTACCAGATAACAAACTGCTATATTCAAACCAGTGATCAATAGCTAAGAGGTACTTCACAACAATATTGTAATTCTTGGGCAATACCCTCACAAGTCAAATTGAGAAGTCACTTTATAGGGGAAACTGTTGCCTGGATACAATTCTAAAACAATTTCCATATGTCCTTTGCAGACTTTACATGCTGGAAAAACACAAGTGCCAACTGCTGTGGCTTTCTGCAGTGTGCATACCGACAAGGAGGGCAGGGTTGAAGAGTGGGTGGAAAATGATGTGGAGGATGATGAGTTCCTAGACCCCACATGGAATCAAGGTCATGCGAGTGATGTGTGTAGTTTGGAGGAAGAGGAGCTGGTCGCACAGAGGCACCAGCACAGCATAAGAGGGAGCAGGGTGCAAAAGCGGAGTGGCCGTCCCCTAGCGCTCGTCGGCATGTATTAGCTCGAGAATTACCAGTTATCCAAGTAATACATGTAGCGATCAAAGGATCCATAATAGACTTGAGCAAACTCAAACTGCAAAGTTCGGGTTTGTACCAGATTTAACACTCCATTCATAGTTTCACAGTGAGGTGGGCAGTCCGGTGACCAGGACCCAGACACTGTCTGTGCGGCGGTCGGACGACCGGGACCCAGTATGCCTGATGTTGAAGTTAGGAGTCACAGTGTGGAATGAATTAGCAGGGTCTGATGCAGCTTCAGTAAAAAGAGTACTTGATACCAGAAGCCATCACCAGACTGAGCAACTTGGAACAGGATGTGACATTCACTGTAGTGGTGGTGCGCGCTTTTGGCGTTGTCACGCTGCTGCTGCTCGCCTGCAGCACGCACGGGTCAGTGGCTCTGCACCAGACTTCCCTCCAATTGATCAGAGTTAAAGGATTTCAAGTGGACTCATTACAATTACAGGGCCTCTAAAGAGTCCTGTATTGTTATTTGTTGTCACTACCTTCCCGCGTCGGGAGTGGGTCATTTGCGCGCCTGCTGCCTTCCTTGCATGTGGTAGCCGTTTCTCAGGGTCCCTGTACGGAATGGAACCCTGATTCCCCGTTACCCGTGGTCACCATGGTAGGCGCAGAAACTGGCATCGAAAGTTGATATGGATGACATCCGCATGCAAAGTCGCGCCACGGGGATGTGCGATTTGCCCGAGGTTCTCTAGAGTCAACAAAGTTCCTGCGCAACTATAATGTCAACAGCTACTCTGCGGAACAGAGTTGTCTTTTTTTATATGTCCCAATATTTTGGGGGCTACCCCAATTAAAAAAAATATATAAAATATATATATTGAGTGTTGGCTACCTCATCCTCCTCCTCCACCGGTCACCACCTCCTCAACCTATGGGTCACTTAGTATAAACTAGGTACACATTAGCAGAGGCTTGTGAAGGCCTTTTCTCCATGCATCAGGAGTTGAGCATTTCTCCATGCATCAGGACTGCAAGAAATGCACCGCAGGCCGCAAATGTTTCTTTTGTTTGTATGTCCCAATATTTTGTGGGCTACCACAATTAAAAAAACTAAACAAAAACATAAAAAACAGTGTTGGCTACCTCATCCTCCTCCTCCACCGCTGCTTCCACCTACACCGCCACGGTCACCGCCTCCTCAACCTATGGGTCACTTAGTATAAACTATGTACACAATAGCAGAGGCTTGTGAAGGCCTTTTCTCCATGCATCAGGAGTTGAGCTCAGTTTGAACAATGAAAGAGAATACCCTGCACTCCAACCCTCTCTCAAATTGATAATTCTGGTGATCCTCCTGACAGCCATGCTTTAGATTTTGCTTTATGTTCTTCCAAAGCTAAAATCAAAGATTCCATCTAGTGCTATTTTATGGCTAAATTTTATGTTATTTTAAGTGATTTCCCTATCCACATTTGTTTGCAGGGCACTTGTCCTACGCTTACCCCCATTTTACTTCCTTTTGCAGCTCTCTAGTCCTTTCCAGGAGTTTTTTAGAGGCATTTTTGTGTCCAAAAGTTTAGGTCCCCATTGACTTCAATGGGGTTTGGGTTCGGGGTCAAGTTCGAGCCCGATCTTTTTTTCAAAGTTCGGCCGAACCTGCCGGACCCGAACATCCAGGTGTCCGCTCAACTCTACTGAAGACCACTGAACACTGCATTTACTGGAAAAGATACCATTTTTGTTTTTCATTTTATGCATGCATTTTCAATGCAGTATTTATATGATGCAGTTGAGGCCGTGGCTTAACCCCTTAACGCCGTTACAGAGTTCTATGACGTTCCACATTAAAAGGGCTTTAAAGCCGTTGCGGCGGCATAGAACGCCGTAACGGCTTTGAGCCCTGTAGCTGCTGGGATAATTACCTTCCCAGCGCTCCACTTCGGGAGGACTGCCTCACAGCCCAGGCAGCCCTCACCCGGCAAATCAGGGCCCCAATAGCTGGCTGTGGATCTGCCAGCAGGGGGACTGTCTGAAATGTCAGACAGTCCCCCTGCTGGTGGGAAGAATAATAAAAAATTATTAAACATGTTTTAAAATCAATTAAAAGTATATATATATATATATATATATATATATTTTTTTTTTTTCCCAGGTCCCAGCACTCAATGTTCCCGGTCTTTTCCATGCTCCGGTGCAAGTAATCTCTGACCAATATGTAGCATCCAAGTAGAGAGCACTCTGGAGTCTTCGTTTTATATCAATATAAATACTGCTTTATTGTATTCTGCACAATAAAGCAGTATTTATTTTGATATAAAACAAAGACTCCAGAGTGCTCTCTACTTGGATGCTATATATATACATCTTATATATATGTAACGTGATACGTAATGTATTTTGAAGTTAATATAAGTATATATATTAATCTTAAAATACACTTAGAATAACGTTACATATATATATAGGATATATATTATATATATAATATATCTATATATATATTTTATGTTTATATATATATACATATATATACGTATAATTACAATAATAAATAAATAAAATAATAAAATAAATAAATAAAATATGTACAAAAAATGTAAATAAATTATATATACATATGTAATTTCATTCTAACTGTATTTTGTTATTAATACATATATATTGGTAACAAAACACACTTAGAATGACTTTCTATATATATATATATCTATCTATATATAAAATACAAATAACTGCAAATATTTATATTTAGATAAATATATATAATTACATAAATAACTACATAAGTATACACGTAGAATTTAAATACATATATATGTATATATATAAAAATTCTATGTGTATGCTTAAGTAATATTTTAACATAATTACGTGATTTAATTAATTAAAATTTGATTGATGTGCCTGACAATCCAGGCAGCAAGTGCAGAGAATTAAATTCGCACGCACTATATTTAACCCTGTAACTTTCCAAGACACCATAAAACCTGTACATGGGGGGTACTGTTTTACTCGGGAGACTTCGCTGAACACAAATATTAGTGATTCAAAATGATAAATTGTATTACAACGATGATATATTTAGTAAAAGTGAAGTTTATTGCATTTTTCACACACGAACGGCACTTTTACTGACGATATTATTGTTGCAATATGTTTTACTGTTTTGAAACAGTTATGTTTGTGTTCAGCGAAGTCTCCCAAGTATAACAGTACCCCCTATGTACAGGTTTTATGGTGTCTTGGAAAGTTACAGGGTTAAATATAGTGCGTGCAAATTTAATTCTGCACTTGCTGCCTGGGTTGTCAGGCACGTCAATCAGTTAGAGAGTCAAATATAAGGCTTGCATTTCATTTTTTTCGCATTGAAATTTGCCAGATTGGTTACTTGCATTTGAGACCGTATGGTAACCCAGGAATGAGAATTACCCCCATGATGGCATCCCATTTGAAAAAGTAGGCAACCCAAGGTATTGCAAATGGGGTATGGCCAGTCATTTTTGGTAGCCACTTAGTCACAAACACTGGCCAAATATTAGTTTTTTGCTTTTTTCACACAAAAACAAATATGAACGCTAACTTTGGACAGTGTTTGTGACTAAGTGGCTACTCTAAAAGACCGGACATACCCCACTTGCAATACCTTGGGTTGTCTACTTTTGCAAATGGTATGCCATCATGGGGGTAAATCTCATTCCTGGGCTAGCACACGGTCTCAAAGGCAACATAACCAACCTGACGAAGTTCAATTTGAAAAAACTGAAAAATGGAATGTGCTATATTTGACCTTTTAACCTTCAAAAACACTGTAAAAACTGTTAATGGGGGGGTACTGTTGTACTCGTGAGACTTTGCTGAATCCAAATATGTGGGTTTTTTTGCAGTTAAAGCTAATGGTATTATGACATTTACAGCTAAAATGTCTACAATTTTTTTTTTAAAAATCTTAATTTCTCACAGTTTTTAAAAATTTTTAAATATGAATAGTTACTGATAAATTAAAGCCCTGTTTCTCCTGAACAAAATGATATATAATAAGTGTGGGTGCACTTAACATGAAAGAGGTGAATTACGGTTGAACAGACATATAGCGCAAATACCAATTTTTGTTTACATTTTGTTTTGATCAGAACGTGCACTATTGACTCTGTCCTGAAGGGGTTAAAATGAATATTAATCTTTGACTTATTACATAATAATTAAGCAATAAGTAACAATGTTAATTTTTTTTTTATAGTTCTTGGTATTATGTTGCATATGTGGATAGAAAACACACAAAACTTTATTATTAGCCTGACCTTACCTTACCTTACCTGACATCCCAGCCAGTCCTGCTGCAGCACGTCCGACCTCTCAGGCCCCCGCAGGCCAGGTGACCGAGCAATCACATGGCCACAACAGCTGGGCAAGCTGTGCATGCCTGGGTTGTCAAGCAGTCTCCCTGCTGCTCCAAAGTGTAAAAAAATAATATTCTGCCAAATAAATAAATATATATATATATATATATATATATATATATATATATCAACCTCAGAGCATTCCATCTGTGGGGGACTTGATTTCCAGAGAGGGTTAAACCTCTCCCTATTTTAATTAATAAAATTAGTGGAAGAAAGCTACTGCCTGGTGGATTCCTTGTGATTTGTTTGAAGCACCAGTAGCCTGAGCAGTCTTCACCTGCACCCTGTTTGTTAGTGGGTAAATATTTATGTATAGGTTATTATTGGTGTTTACAATATTACACTATATTGTTTTCTTTTTTTTTTCTTTTTTCCCTTACATATAGTTTATGAATGGAATACGTTTTGTAAGTAAATTCTAAGCACTTTGAAGTTATTTTTGCATTATATGTTTGATGCACCCTTGTATTAAGTGTTTTTACAGATATGTCAAGTTACAACACACCTTAATTTTGGTTTTTTTTTGCTTTGATTTTATTTTGTTTAGAACTTTTACAATTGCCTCTGTCCTTCAAGGGTTAATATAATTATAATAATAATGACAAGTAACAGGCTACTTAACATTACTTACAAAAGCCCCACCCCTCAGAGCTGGTAAATGTACATCCTGGGTACATTCAAAGAGAGAGAATGTCTGGTTTGCGATGCTTTGTGGGAGGTAACTTCTTTAGACTAGGCTGGCCTCCGATGTCACTTCCAGAGGCATATGGCATAAGGGAACCATATAATTGAAATTATCCCCACACAGAGCCCCTAGTCATGACTCTAAACCATTATCCTTATTATGCTTTATTGATGGCATAAATCATTATTTAAATTTCTTAAAAAATAAGGATTAATCCCTCTTCCTTTATAGTTTCCATTTAAGTTCCTCTGCAGTTCTGTCTGACTTTAAAAGAAAATATATTTAATTTATTGCGGCACGATGCACAGAAAACCACAGAGAATCATTATATTTAATGAGGCTCTACGGCCGACAGTGACAGCACTGCGCATGCACGTGTGATATCACGTCATTTACGTTACAAGAGATAGAGAGTAAGATTCCATGCTGTCATACACACAGGGATTGGAGGTATAGCTTGATCCATGCTTCTTTGCCTTCTAATTAGTTTAATGTTGTGTTTTTGGACGTAGGACAGGGGGAGGGGTGCAGGACTGCAGACAGATGAAGTTGTTAACGTGCCTACAGTATCCCTTTAAGGACTGCTATGAAAATACACACTTGCAACATTTAAATCAATTGAGAACAATTCAAGATTGTAAAAAGTAACCATTTTCGTATCAACAACTTGTGTCCTAGTGATCTGCATGAAAAAAAAGCATAGGATCCTCCAACATTCTGATAAATATAGGTATGAGTCCTGTTCACAATCATCATTAAGATGGGGGGATTTAGTAAAAATAAAAAATAAACTTCATCTGACATGAAATTGTTTTAGTAGTTTGTAGTTGTAGTGTGCTAGCCAAGG